CTACTACTACTACTACTACTACTACTACTACTACTACTGCTACTGTACTACTACTACTACTACTACTACTACTACTACTACTACTACTACTACTACTACTACTACTACTACTACTACTACTACTACTACTACTACTACATACTACTACTACTACTACTACTACTACTACTACTACTACTACTACTACTACTACTACTACTACTACTACGACTACTACTACTACTACTACTACTACTACTACTACTACTACTACTACTACTACTACTACTACTACTACTACTACTACTACTACTACCTACTACTACTACTACTACTACTACTACTACTACTACTACTACTACTACTACTACTACTACTACTACTACTACTACTACTACTACTACTACTACTACTACTACTACTACTACTACTACTACTACTACTACTACTACTACGACTACTACTACGACTACCACCACTACGACCACTTCTGCTACGACTACGATTGCGACTACGACGACGACAAGGACTACAATGACTGCGACCACTAACTTACTACCACCACTAGTATCACTACTTCCACTACTGCTCTCCCTAGTCCCTCCCTCTTTCCTTCCTCCCCTCCTAGTCCGTCTCCTCCTCCTCCTCTACATCCTCCTCCTTTTTCTCTTCCTCTTCCTCCTCCTCCTCCTCCTCATCCTTCTCCCCCTCCTCCTCATCCTCGTCATCCTCCTCCTCCTCCGCCCGCTCCTGTCATCCTCCCCGTTCCCCCTTCCTGAACCCCGCGATCGGGCAGAGCCACGTCCAGCGCCTCTAGCGCCTCCTGGCACTCCTCGCGGCACGAGGTGCATGCGGGGGTCAGCGAGGGGCGGCGCAGAATGAGGGTGCTGCAACCCCGACCGCTCCTCCTGCACCCTACGCGTCCACCATCCTCCTCCTCCTCATCCGTCGCCACTTGGTTTTCGCCACAACCATTTCGGACGACGGCGGCGGCGCGGGCTGGGGGAGGACTGCTGCGGGATCGGGCGCAGTGCGGTTCGGCGCTGATGAAGCCCAGGCGTCGGCGGACAGGTTTGTCGCTCGCTTGTAACGGCAGTTGGACCACGCTCGTCGGCGACACCGAAATTGTCGTTTTCGTGTGCAACATGCTGCCCGTGTCCGTGGCCTCCGTCGCGGGCCGTGAGCCGACATGGCTTCGACGATCCTTGGGGCACGGACCCTGGTGGCTGGCGAGTGCGAGCGCCGCTCCTTCCAGCATGGGCCGAGGCTCAGCCTTCTCATCGTCATCCTCCATCCTCGGGCAAATCATCATCAGGCCCCTCCGCGGCCCCTCCCGTTCATATATGTATATGTATATATGTATACACATACAAACAGACAAACAAACAAACAATCCACATACGTACATACTTGTATACATACATGCATACATACATGCATGCGTACACACACGCATGCATACACACATACGTACACACATGCATGCATGCACACATACATGCATGCATGCATACATACACACCTCATTATCAATATAAATCCGCCGACCCTGTCGGCGTGTGTGAGGGGCTTTTCCGTTCGAGCCGTCATCTCCGTCATTCTTTGTACTCGTCGTCTCTGTCCTTCCCTTTCCCTGGGAGACCTCTTCCCCTGGGCTCCAGCCAAGCCGACCTTGAGCAACCTCGTAATTGAGTCGAAGGGAAGCCCCTTCCCTTTGATCCCTCCCCCGCCGGGAGGGGGGGGGGGGTAGCGACCCCCCCCCCGGGTCAGATACGACGCCCCCCCCTGGGACTCCTCTTCCCCTGGGCTCCAGCCAAGCCGACCTTGAGCAACCTCGTAATTGAGTCGAAGGGAAGCCCCTTCCCTTTGATCCCTCCCCCGCCGGGAGGGGGGGGGGTAGCGACCCCCCCCCCGGGTCAGATACGACGCCCCCCCCTGGGACTCCTCTTCCCCTGGGCTCCAGCCAAGCCGACCTTGAGCAACCTCGTAATTGAGTCGAAGGGAAGCCCCTTCCCTTTCATTCCTCCCCCGCCGGGAGGGGGGGGGGGTAGCGGGGGGGGGTAGCGACCCCCCCCCGAGTCAGATACGACGCCCCCCCCCCGTACCGACCTTGAGCAACGTCGTCATTGAGTCGAAGGGAAGCCCCTTCCCTTTCCCTTCCCCGACGGGGGGGGGAGAGGAGGTCCCGGGGGGGGTCCCGGGGGAGTCCCGGGGAAGTCCCGGGTCAGATACGACACCTCCCTCCCCCACCTTTTCGTCCTTTTTCCCGTTCCCCCAAACCATCCCACAGCCCGTGCCTCTTGCTGCGCATTGCGAACAGGGTCGGCGGCACCGGCCGTCAGGCCTTCGCAATACAAACATGCGAACATACATGCATACATGCACACATACACATGCATACATACATACAAACATGCACACATACATACAAACATATATACATATACACACCTACATACATACCTGTATACATACATGCATATCTAACACAAGAAAGCACACATACATATATACATACATA